AACCCTAACCTTAACCCTAACCCTAACCCTAACCCTAACCCTAACCCTAATCCTAACCTAAAAACCCTAATCGTGCTTTTGTGGGCGCGGTGTTGTCGACGCGCTTTAGTGGGTGTGCTTTCAACGTCGCCGTTTTGTTGGCGCGCATTTGTCAGGCGTGCATTTGTCGGATCACGAAAAATAGTAATAAGTCACATTTTTCAGGGCCATTGTAACTTTGAATGGTTACTAAACGAACTGTTATAAGTCGAGGATTACCTGTATTATTTATTAAACACTTACTTAAACCTTTCCAGCAGGAGACAGCAAAGAGCAACCCGGGAAAAATTATGAATGCTCTGCTGCCCTCTAGTGGCCCCCAGAATTATTATTTTTCTTTTTGTAACATCCCAGAGAGGGTCACCTTAACCAACAAGTTCTCTCTGGGGCTCAGGACTCTCTGATGCTCCTCTTTCCATTCCAGGGGAACCCGAGCCGGGACGGAAGACGGCGCCTCTCAAACCAAAGAGAACACGGCGGGCACAGTCCTGCGACAAGCTGGAGTCTGATCGAGGACGGAACCCGGGATCCGGAGGTAAGACAGAGCTGGTATTCCCACGCTCGTGGGATCCAGAAGGGGGGGGAGGTTGGAGCGAGGAGCAGCGAAGCTGTAGGGAAGGAGTGACAGAAAACTGGGGGTGGAGTCAAAAGAGGAATCAGCCTAGAATCTCTACGTAGCCGCAAATGAACTAAGTCGAACTTCTTTCAATTTTCGTGGTTAGTTGGGAAGATTCTCGCGCATAGGCTTTCAGCAATAGAGCAGTTAAATTGAACCCTCGTATGTGACAAAATGTTTTTGCGGGAAACAAACAAACTGGGTTGAACTGGGATAGGTGGTACAGATTTACTGGTGAAGGGAAAAGCCTTCGGCGCATGCTCTTGTTTGTACAGGTAGTCCTCGACTCACAACCATTCATTTAGTCACCGTTCGATGTTACAACAGTGTCAGTGGTGGGTTCCGCTCCCTGTCGCTGCCGATACGCCGCGCACAGGGCTGGGCGTCCCAGTTGTGCACAAACGCTGTGCAGGCATACACGCGCCACCACCCCTGCGACACCCAGCTGCTCGGTGGAGGTCACGCAGGCGCCGCATGCTGTGTGCGCGTGCGCAATTGGCTAATCGCATTATAAACAGGTATGGAACGCGGACGGACTGGTGGCCAAACAAGCCACCGTACCGCTACGTTGGCTGCTGCTCCCGGCTACTACTGGTACAGCCGTACCGGTCCGTACCGGCTGGAACCCACCACTGAACAGCCCTGGAAAAAAAGGGACTGATGACTTCTGTTCACACTTATGACGGTTGCAGCATCCCCAAGGTCCCATGATCAAAATCCAGCCGCTTGGCCACTGGCCAAAAATTCGGTGGGGAAGCCAGATTCGCTGAATAATCAAGTTGCTAACTGAACTGCGGTTGATTCACTCCCGGAGCAAAATTCACTTCACGGTCTCGCTTCGCGATGAGAAATTTGGAGCTCCGTTGTGGTCGTATGTCGAGGACTGCCTGTGCGCCTGCTGTATGTATATTGCGAGTATTTGTGAATCTTTGCGAAACTTTGCGAAATTTCGTAAAAACTTTGTGTAACTTATTCCTCGGGAAGTCGGAAAGACGAGGCTCACCAGAGAAGCCACCGGCTCACGCGGGGAATCCCACAGCGATTGAAGAGGCGAGCTTTCGGTGTCGTGACCCTCCCCTCGAACCCTGGTTCCCCTCCCCCTGGCTAACTCCATCTCTCTCTCCCTGTCTCCCCCACCTCAATTTCCCACCCAGGTGCCAGTGACTTCCCCCTGCCTGACCCACCTCCTCCTCCCCCTCTACTCGACCCGCCCGGCTGGAAATCTCGCCCCGCTCTTCCTCCTCCTCCTCCTTCTCATCTCTTTTCAGCAGACCGGCATGGAGGTATGTATGGATGACCTTCACGGAGAAACACCCCCCCCAGGGTTGGGAGGGGGGCATCGCTCCAATATTTCTCTCCTTTGATCGTCTTTTCTTTCCAGCAGGAAATCCCCGAACTGGGGCAGAGTGACGGAGAGACCCCCTTCCTGGAGGGGATATCGAGTCGAATCTCTGAAAACTTCCCACCGTCTGGCCGGAAGTTCGAGGGGGAGGGGCAAACCATGGGGAGGGTCTCCTCCAAGCTGCTCCCCCTACCCCAAAAAAGAGGTTCCAAAAAGTTCCTAGTGGAATTCTTTCATTCGTTCCTTCCTTCCATTTGTGCCTCTTCTCTGACTTTTGGTCAAAAGCCCACCCCTCTCATGCCTGGGGTGGGGTGGGGATTCTCGTCCCCCTCCACCCCCCCAGATTTGTTTTTAACCAGGGTGGTGAGAAAAACAACAAAGCCACAAAATATTCTCCTTTCCACCTGTCCCCGTAAGGGGGGGAGCCCCCTTTCTCTTAGTCCATCCCTTCCCCGAATCTCTTCCTTTCCTCTGGATCCCGATTTCCTTTCCCTCCCCATCCTGTGTCCCCCCCCCCCATCCAGCCCACCCGCGCAGCCCTCAAGATCTGGCTCTCCCAGCAGGCCTGGGGATAGGTT